ACAGCACGATCAGCTCCAGTCACAACTAGACTCTCTGTGAATCGACAGGAACAGCAAAATGCACTCAAGTCATTTAATTACAGTGACACTTTATCTTATATAATGGGGTGAAAATAATCCTAAACATTTAGAAATACAATCTAAACCAACATATTTAAATCATTTATTCTCTCCTTAATTGGAAATAAACTTTCACAGCTGGCTGACTGTAATCTATTGGACTATAAGGGACAGCATCTGTCACAGTGAGGTAAAGCCAGGCTCCCAACACTAAAGTGCTTGTAGAAGAGAGATCACTCCCAGCTCACTCCTGCTGTACTCATGGGGCTGGCTTTTCCACTTCACTGCTGTTTGATCAGAAAGCTATATTTCAAGAGGTGTTTAGAAACAGTGAGAGAACAGAGTGTCTCAGGCAGTGTTTTATTATTTCATTAACTGGACAAGCTGGTCAAGGGATGAGGAAACCTTACTCACTATTTTCTTTCAGCTCCAGTGTCGCCTGACCAGAGTCCTGCACCGTGTGGACGGCACACCTGTACACTCCTGTGTCTTCAGCCGTGACGTTGGCCAGCCGCAGAGAGAAGTTTCCTCTGGGAATCTCCTGAGGGAAGAGCTCCGCTCGGCCCCGGTAGCTCTGGTGCTGGGACTCCGGTCTGCTCTCCCCCCCGGAGAACAGGAGCACCAGGGTGTCTGGATCTGTCCTCCTCCACTCCACCTCCAGCTCCTGCAGGGGGACAGCGCTGTCCATAGAGCAGGGCAGCAGCACCTCATCCCCAGGCCTGGTCACTAGAGGCTCCCTGGGGCCCTGCACAGAGAAACCTGGGGCCACAGAAGAGTGGATCATCAGGCCCAGAGCCAATGAGCCCTGTGATTACTGCAGGTACCGATGCTTCAGGGTCACAATCCTCAAAACCTTATACAGGGTGACATCATTCTTATACAGTACGTTCACACTTACTACAGTTACCATTATCACAATACTGCATAAAATTACACTATTATACATTGTACAGCAATTTAATAAGAACTCTTATTCAAGCAAAGAGCAATCTTTCACATCACTACAACACTGGTCAGTCATGCTGGAAGGGCATCACTGCAGACACACAGCAGACATTACTCCAGACACACGTACACACTAGGCAGGCCTGAGGCTGCACAAGTGTGTGTGTAAAGCTAGATTGACACCTATCCGGAGGACCTGTATGACCTGTATGACTGCAGAGTCTGCAGGTCTCTGCCCCCCTGTGCTCTAACTGACCTGGTCTCCTGCTGTAAATTAAAAACCTTCTACCCCAGGAGGCTCCAACCCCAGAGTCAGGAGGCTGCTGTGGGAAACTGTGCCGAAATGTAAAACCTAATTTTATTCACGAAGCCTCCAAGGTATAAACAGAACTCGAAACACACTTGCTCCAATTTCAAATGTATTGATCATAAGTTTCTCAGGATTATATACTAATGAATTTGTCCTCTATCCCACCCTTCCTGAGCTGAGGAGAGGCAGGAGGAAGAAGAGGGAACTACTGTACCTTCAGTCCTCAAAGCTCCCCACACAGCAGCCAGGAGCCCCAGCACAGTCAGTGTCCTCATCTCTCCTGAGGGCCCTGGGCTCTACAGAGCTGTCAGAGTGAAGAGATCGCTGCAGAGCTGGGCGTACAGCACACAGGAAAGAAAATTAATCTTATTACTGTGAGTTTATATAGCAAACAGTTTTACTTCTGTTTTAGCCAAAAGCTGCACTGATAAAGTATCTGAAACCTACCTACTGACAAGTGATAAATAACTTACTAATTCTTATTCCTCTTATCACAGAAATGCCAATCAGTATTTAAGGTGTCATCTTGAAACTGTGCAAGATAGCACGAGAAGTTACACTTTCCTTTTAACTTTCTCTCCTGCCCACGACACTGAAAATCCACAAGGCCATATTAGATTAGATTAGATTAGATAAGACTTTATTGATCTCGAAGGGAAAATGATGTGTTACAGCTGTCCAGCCCAAGACAAGCAAAAAGAGACATCAGAATAGACAAAACATTATACAAAATAGATATAAAATAAATAAAAATAAATTCATACAGTATTAGCAAAATATGATGATCATAGTCACTGTAAAAAAATAAAATATGTGCAAAATGTGCATAGGATTCATAATATGAATCCTTCTACAGCACCTTCAGGACTCTGTGTGCCAGAGAGCTTTCACAGGAGTACAGAGAGGGTACAGACACAGTCTAGTGTCCCAGAGTTTCTGATGGGAAGTGGGAGTT